GGGGGGGGCAGTACCCAATATACACACCCTATAGGTACCCTTAAGGGTCCTAGAATCCCCCTAAAGGGCACATTAGGGGTCCAGACTTATAACATTAGAATCCCCAAAGGTTTTGGGTCTTAGGGATCTAGGTGCGTGACTGCAAAAAGGGTGGTCGAGGGTGAGAAATACTGAATGGAGAGTGAAATGGGAAACCAAGTCCCTAAGCATGAACTGGACAAATCAGGCCATACAAAAAAAAACTCTTGAGTAGTGTTTTTTGGTGGTTGAACCTAGTAGTAAGATAATATTCCTTATACAAAATACTATACCCAAAAGGAGGATGTAATCTTACTCTATATTGGGTACCATAATATCCCCAAATAAAGTACTACTCTCTTGAGCCTTCAGCCCTACAATAAAGCTCCACCTCGTCGCCATTGACCTTTACCCCAGTAAACGAAAAGCTGGCTGCCTAAACGCTGCAGACCCTTAAGGCTCGTCTGGAGTTCCTACAGCCCCCCAAACAAGGAACATTCGCCCAATGTATTAGAATCGTGGCGCTAGATTGGGAATACTCTTTATTTCGGGGGTGTCTTACTTCACGGGGTCATGTAACCCGTCGATCTTCGTCTTGAACTTGAAAAGGCGACACATGTGGCTACAATTCTTGTTAGGTTGTCAAAGGATTTGAAGGGCTGACTGGGACTGAGAGAGAACGGTCATGCACGGCTGGCACGAGATCTTCGCCGACGCTGGAGTGCTGGCGACTACATGGCAGGAACAGAAGACTGCAAGTAGGCACCCTGCCCGGGTCTTCTTCCGCCGTAGTGGGGATTCCTTGAAGGCGATGCAAACAGAAGTTATGGAGGATCACGCATGGGGCTTCCTTGTCCATGGGACAGTTTGGCAACCATCGTCAAAGGGGTTGGTTAAGCGCAGTTAACTCCAATCAGCCCTCCACTTCAACTTGCCCTTACACACTAAAATCAAAGCCCCCAACTAGTATTCCTACTGTTACTATTAGTACCATTACTATTATTACTACTACTATTACTGATACTACTATGAAAAAAACCTAAACCCTAAACCCTAAATCCTAAACCCTATTTTTTCCACTACAAAAGAACCTCCCCACATGCCTCATTCTCCGGACTTTTCTTTGGCCCGAGCCGAGCCTCCTGCGAAGAAAGGGCCAACTATGGGGGCTCAGCGAGTTATGGGGGTTTAAAAAGGGGATATAGGGGTTGTATATAGGGTTTAGGGTTTAGGTTTTAGGGTTTTTAATTTTGGGGTTCTATAGGGATAATGGAAAAGAAAATGGAAACTACTATAGTATTTTGGGGCTATATAGGGATAATGGAAAAGAAAATGGAAACTACTATAGTATTTTTGGGGTTATCAAAATTATGGTCCGTTTTTGGATCCTTATTATAATATGGCACCTAATATTTGTTAGGGTACCCAAAGAGGGAACATAATTTTGACAACCACCCATATAGAGGTTGTATAGGGATAGTGGAAAAATGGAAATTACTCTGTAGGGTTTAGGGTGTTCAAGCTCTCACGGCATGGAACCGGCTTGCGTAAATGCATAAAGGAGATCTCCAGTGTACGGTCTACTCCATGTCAAGGCAGAGTAATGTAGAATCATCATAATGCCCGGGCCAGTCCTCTGTAGAACACCGGTAACCATACCGAATAAGCAGGTGCCATCCTTTCTTCTAGCATTAAAAAAACCATCTTGAAGTCTTTGGCCGGGCACCGGAGTAGCTGGAACCTGTAATGCACCATTTGCACCATGGCATGTCCTTGGTTATAGATCCCAGTTGCAGATTCAAACTCACAAGGCATCAACTCACTTATGGGAGGCAGTACAACGTATGCAAGACCCTAAATGGCTGGGTGGGTGTAGAATCTGGCTTGCAATTTTGTTCGGCTTGAAATTTAGGCTTACCCTGTAGCATTGCGGACTCGACTTACCGCTACTGAAAATTCCGATTGGGGAAGGCACACTTAACAAGTCTAAGATGGTTGAAAAACTCAATTCAAGTGCACAAAGTCAAGGTTGCCAGCAGCCCCGCGTTAGCTGAAATGTGCTTTGACCAGGTTCTATGAAGCCTGAAAGAGATATCAAATGGCCATGGACCATCGCCGCCTGTCCTCCAGCTGGCCTTGCAGGGTGTCGATCTCGGACTCCAGCTCTCGAATATGCTCCATGAGCTTCCGGTTCTGCGACATTTTATGCAAGATCCCTTGCTGAGATCTGGACCAGAGCTTGGCGTGGGGAGCCCACAACACCAGGGGATGTGAGAGACGTGTCGTGGTCTACAATGAAGCTTGGCCGCACCTGGTCCCGCTTCTTGTTGAATTTCTCGACCTGCTGCTCCAGCTTTTCCTGGTGTATAAATACAAAGTCTGTGAGATGAATTGCTGGCAAAGCTGTTCCTGCAAGATCGGAAGACAAATCACTGTCAAATCACCCCCAAGTCGTCCTCCACATCCAGCTTTTCCTGCAAGAGCACCACCATCACATTCTTGTTTGAAGAAACTGTTGAACTGGAAGCGCAGCGGGCTCTCCGCCACTCCCCGCCTGGCGAGCCTTGCGGGCTTCATCACGGACGTCCTGCAAAAACGTGTGCAAACAATGCTGGCAGACGCAACAAGCCGTTTTCATCACCGGCATCGGTCACTTCCTGGTGCCGGAACTAGACCAAGAAGACAATAAGGCTCCTCCAGTTTGGTCCGCTGCCTGTCAACCTCATCACGGGATTCTTCAGCCTTGCGGCATATGCGGCGTGCAGCCTCTTGAAAACTAACTTCAAGTGCACCAACTCAGGTCTCATGATCCTCTCTGCTCTGAGCCTCGGAGAGTGCCTGATCCAGCTTGGTCTGCTGGGAGGCTGCTAGCTCCTGGCCAACACTAATTTCCACAGAAAAGCCGTGCAAAGGCCCTTTTACGATAGAGTTTTTCAAGGGCACGCAAGGGGCCATCCCTGCAGCTTTCCGTCCTTGAGGTCTGATTCCGCATCGCGCAAGGCCTGCACGTGCAAGCTTGAGTCTGGAAACATTGAAGCTTGAGCAGAAATTGCGCATGGGCAATGTCTAGTTGACCTCCGCGCACCATTTTGTGGCAGGAACTACTATGCCACGCAGCACCACCGGCCTTTTGCAGGCCGCTGAACAACTTTGCCACCTCCTCCTGCACAGCTGTTGAGCTTTTCGTACGTCAGGTCATGTCTGTTCACTCACGTCATATTTACAGATGCAGCCAGGCAACCGTGAGGATCATGGTGGGACCCCCAGGGCCCCCTAGCGTTCGCCAGACCCAGTGGCTCTGAGCCCTCATGCGGCGCAAGGGTTCGCATTTGACTCATCTGACCTACCCTCAAATCTCGAAGCGGAGGCATTGAGTTTGAAAGAAAGACAGTACACATGGCTTTCATGGTTCTCTTAAGCGCAAAAGCTATCGACACACAGGATCACTCGCTTTGCCGCGGCTGATGCTGAGTCTTTGCTGTCTGACCAGAGCAAGTCTACTGGCCAGGTAGCATGGGCAGCTGAGGAGGGCCGCCACCTCTGGGACTCTAAGGACCTAGAGCTTGTACCAGGCCTTTATCTGCGGAATGGCGTGCATCCGGTCCATCCAGGCAGTCACAACTGGGTAAGGGGCCAGGCAGTCTGCAGGGACATGGTCTGCAACACCCTTGGTGAAATATCGCAGTTGCGCCAAGATCTGCAAGTCTGCAATGGTGGGCTTGTCTCCGCAGAAGAATGCTCCCGTGGCCTCAAGCTTCTTTGTGAAGAAAGCCATGAAGCGCGGCATCCCCTCTGCAATGAACGTTTCCCGCATTCTCTTCACTGTTTCTTTTGCTTCTGGCCATTCCTCCGGATGTCCGTACTGCGCATGACGGCCCATTCCCATGTACAAGGACGGCTGCCATGCCTTTGTCATGTCATCAGACAAGCCAATGACCTCCTCGATCTCGAGCATCTTATCAGGGTCTGCCGGATAAAGCGTGTCTGTCGTGTCAAACTTGCGGGCCACCCATCGCATCATGGCCACACTCTGTGCAAACGTCTTTACTGAGCCGTCTGGATTTGTAACGGTCATCAGTGGCAGCTGGCCATAGGGTGTAGTAGGCTTCAAGGCTCCCCACTCCTCGAAAGTCACTCGCTTGTCCTCGAACTCTGTACCAGTCATGACGAGCGCTAGGCGGACTTTCTCAGCCGCAGCTTCTATGTTGAAGTACGTCAGCGAAATCTTTGGTTGCGACATGGTCAATGAGCGGGTCCTACCCCAGAGCTACAGATGCAACGCAAGCTTGGGCAGAATGGCGAGGCGTTGACCAATTGCTCCTCAAAGCTCCTCGACAACATGGCTAGCTACGACATGGATACATCCCATGATCTTCAGCATCTGCAAAATGCTGCAGCTGCCCCTGCTTTTTCCCCTCACAGAACTTCAGGCAGGTCAGTAGGGCCTACCAGCCTACTCGCTTTTCTTGGAAATCTACGGGCAATTTGGGTGGCTGTCTTAAACCCTTACTAGTAGCATGAGAGGGGAATCTGCGATGTCGGGTGTGAACTCACACTGCATAGGCTTCAGAAAAACTTCCGAGCCTCGGGGCCATCAGGAGAAACACCAAAGATCCTCTATGTGTGCATAACTCCATCCTGACACAAAACCTTGTGGTATCTTGTGGTCTTCACAGGCGGCAGAAAGCGCAGCTGATGCTTCTTATGAGACAAATGAGAGCTCAACCATCGGTCGCGAAAGCAGGGAAAGATCCGGATCCTAAGAGGGGAAGGTGTGGAAAACAGTGGCATCACGTACATCCTTCCTCGAGCCTCCTTTGCCGGCACCACATTCATCACCTGACCCCGAGATTCCAGAGGAGCACCCAGCAGTCGGTAGAAAAATCAAGGGGTTTTGCCTGCCCCACCATGCCGGTCGTAGGCCGTGGTGGGCGCTTCTCTGGCTCACCTAAGCAGGCTGCTTTTCAAAGTGGCCAACAAGAGCCCCAACAGTAAGACCTCCCGCACAGTTGGGTCCTCAAAAAAGAGAACAAATCAGGGATCCCAAGGCTCCAGCCACAGTCATGCAAAGCTTCCAGGCGCCTGTCCGAGACCCGCAGACTTTTGACATCATGTGACCCTCGTGAAGGTTGCGTCTGAGAACGCAATAACTGCCCTGCGGTCACAAAAATCTAGGCAAGAATAGCGACAACACAGGAACGGCGACATCGTGCCATGGAGGAGTCATGGCAGCATGCATTGCTGGGCCAGGCTGCTTGGCTGATGTTGAGCACTTGTGAGACAAGTGGCTATTACTGTACAACATGCGCACACGGAGCCCAGCCTAGACAGGGACGTGTCGGAGAAGCAGGATCTGAAAGTCATGCACGGCTGGAATGATGCAGGGATGGTGCGCAAAGCTGTGGTCAACGGCTCAAATACAAAGCAAAGAACTTGCAAGACTCTCCTTGATGCTCAACAATTAAATCATTAAGAACGTTCCGAGCGTACACTCCAAAGTATCCGGCCCACCACAATACATTCAGCATCTAGTGGCGCAAGCTGACGACGCCAAGTGCCCTGCTTCTTGAAAATCACAGCTGTCTCTGAGAGGCCCTGGGCACCTCAGCAAAAGAGAGAGGCCAGCGCTGCCCATAGCATAGGCGACATCTCATCTGGTTGTAGTTCAGTCAGCTGCCGAGCAAATTGGCGCCTGCGAATCCCACTGCTTAGTTGCACGACTCCTATCATGACTCTTATTACTACTATTATGACCATTGTTCATTACTGTTGATGCTATTATTACTATTATGTTTAATAATATTGTTAGCATTAAGCTCCACTACCGGAAGCGATCAGCAACCATCCGCTGAGGTCCCAGCCAAGCGGCCCGCCGGGCGGAAACCTGAAGAGTTGATGAGAATCTTCAAGTGAGCTATCGCCTAAACTCCTTGAAGGGGGTTATGTAGGGGATTATATAGGGTTTAGGGTTTAGGGATTAGGGTTTAGGGGTTTATATAGGGGATTATACAGGGGAGTCTTATGGGGCTTATTAAGGGGGATACTAGGAGTTTAGACTATAGCTCAAGTGCCAGAGCACTTCCCCAGAGTCTGCGTGCAAAGGATGCAATTTTAGCCAGCATTTGGGACTGGAACTACAATGAAGACAAAATCGTAGACAAAATCGTTGGAGCACCCACGCCAGCACAAGTCACTGTACACTGTACACCCGCTGGCCACTCCTCGAGTGGGTGTTCTCCCATCTAAAACTTACCCTTCCCTTTGCCCTTGCCCTTGTCACCTTTGCCACCAGAGCCGTACTTTGGACCCTTGGCCGCTGCTCGGCGCACACAGCTGGAAATCCATTCCGCCGTGCTGGGAAAGTTGGGCCTGCCAGTGCCAATGCAGCGGAAATATGCGGCCCAATCACCCACTGACTCCTTGCGCTTGCGCCATTCAGACTGCAAGAGCTCCAAGCGCTCAGGCAGCTTGCAGTTTGTCTCCTCCATGTCAATGAGAGTCTGCTTCACGTCTCCGATGACGATGTCTACGATCGCTATCTGGAACATCAGTATCTCCCTGGACACCTTCGTGGCCTGAAACACGGGGCCGCCCTCTGCCGGAGTGCCGGAACGCTGCCACCACATCACCCACCGCAAGGAGTTCTCATCTGCGTATGTGCTGATGAAATCGTTTTTCTGTGGGCAGGCTGGGTATCCTTGCATCACAGTGAACAGCACCAGGAGAGCTCCCAAATCGGGAGAATGGTCTTTGTGTCTGAACGACTCCTCCTTGACAAATCGAGTCAGGGTGTCAGCCACTTTGTTGCGCAAATCTGCGCGAGTGTCAACCAGCCAGCGGAAGGTGCGCCAAAAGTTGCAGAGTGCTTCAAAAGTTGCAATTGCAGCGCTCTTTTGCGCATCAGGTCTCATCACCTCCACGATCATTTGGTTGATGAGACGAGGGAACACCTCCATGGCAGCATCATCCTCATTGACAGCCTCATACACTCTCTTGCCGATGTACACAACCTGATTCCTAAGCTCCGTGCACCATTCAGCGCGCCCGGCAGCATGCGCCTTGTTGATCCAAACAGGCAGGAAGAACTCGAAGGCGGACTTGTTGGTGTTCTGTCGCAGCCCTCCGACAAAGGCCTCCTTCGACAGCAGCTCACCGGCCGTCCCCAGGTTCTTGCGCTCACGGCTCACACCCACACCGAGCAGTGCCTCAGTGTACAGCTTGCCAGTGCTCCAGCAGCAGATGTTCTTGTCGACTTTCACCGCTGACTCCGTCTCACTGGCAGGGCAAGAGGCAGACGCGGTGGAAGCAACATCAGACAGCAATTCTAGGAAGCTGTCCATCTGATCGTCCTTCTCAGCCAGCCCAATCCTGCGAGCGAAACTGCTGACACGCTCGGCAAGAGCTCCATCGCCACGGCAAATTCGCCGCAGTTGTTGCTCCACCTGTCGTTTGTGATGCAGCTCGTGGACCTCATCCTCGTCCAGGATGGGTAGGACAGCTTGAGGATTCTTCTCACAGAAGCGGACCGCCGACTGGTAGGTCTTGTCGCGCTCTTGCTGGGTCATCTCCGTGCCAAGGTCGCATAGCACGGACTGAAGTTGAATCAAGAGCGTTGTGACGGTATAAGCAGGGCTCCAGCCACTGCCCACTGTGCTCTTCCACTCCGTATGCACATGGCCGAAGTTTCCAAGCACGTCTAAGCAAATCACGAGCTTTCCCTTTAGACGTCCATCCTGCTGGACGTACGAGGCACCCCCACGGTACTCAAAGTTGAAGGAGAAGCCAATGCTCGGAGCACTGAGAGGGTAGTCACATGGAAAGTCGATGAGGAAGTGAAGGGGCACGGTGACGCAGCCCAAGTGTGTTACCTCCATTTGTGCACCGATCACACCGTCCCAGAGGCTGAGGTCAGCTTCTGAACACGGCGCTGCAGCAGCCAAAGGAATGGGCTCCTCTTGAATCGTTTTGAGGTCGGCCAGGATGCGCCGGCGGGCAGCATGACTGAGCGGTGCAGACGACATGGCGGATTCGGGGAATGCAATGTGAGCTTTTGATCAGTGTTCGGGCATGGAAGGGCGCTGGTGTCGAGCCCGCGCGGAGGGCGCGCACTTGTGGTCGAAGTCAAAGATGACTGGACATCCGCTCTCGGATTGAAGTGTTGTCTGTAAACTTTAGGAGACGAGAAGCAGCCCAGCTCCCTTCAGCAGCTCTCACTTCTATGCCCCCGGCCTCAACGGCCGCGTGGCACTTGCCTCAGCGGCCACCGCACCGGCAAAGGCCCAGTCATTCAGCGCGCTGCTCCACACCCTGCGCAGGGCTTCTTAAAAGCAAACCACATGTTGAGCTTGGATGCACCATTCTGACTCTAATCCAGTCTTCCAGCATGGAGATGTTAGCGGCGAGCATCAATCAGAAAAAGGGAGTCCCTGGCCTATCGAAGCGCTCCCCACTGATGGGACAGACCTAGGCCAACACGAACCGGCCACATGAATCTCATGGATCCTTTTTTTACTGGGCTGAGCCTCAATGAGTTTACCGGGCCCCAAACTGAACGGCGCTCATCACAGGGCACCTGCACAAGGCAGCGAATGGAGTTTGTACAAACATGGCCCACCTTGTGAAAACCGTGGTTGTCTTATCTGGATGCTACTGAATCATGTGGAACAAGAGCAAAAATGGAAAAATACAGCTGATAACCGATTCTTGGACAAACCTGCTTCCAATTGTCACACCAACTCTGACAGAGTGCTACCATTCAGCCTCCCAGCGCTCCTCAGGCAATTCCTCTAACGGAGGAGGAGCCTCCACCGCGGCTGCCTGTGAGGAGGCCATTACATCGCGAATGCAACGCAAGCAGAATGATTAAAAAGTAAAACAAGACGTGCCCCAGTACAAAGACTTTTCGCCTTTCTTAACAACATGACGGGATAAGTACAAAAGGCGCCACCACTGCAGCTCTTTTTGTCTTTTCTGACCTGTGCCTCCTCGCCCTCCTCCTCTAACCCCACCCCCTACCCGTGACCACAGCGACCTCCACTGCCCACTTCTAGCTCTATCTAAACTTGCTATCAAAAGCCACTGTATCATGATCACAGCTGGGCATTTTTAGGTACATATTATCCCTATAGTCGTTTCCATTTTCTTTTCCATTATCCCTATATAACCCTACATATCCATATAACACCTGCAGACATGCAGCTTGACAGCCACACCAGCAGACAGCAAATGGACAAAACACAGATGGGCATATTGGGTTAAATGGAAAAGAAAATGGAAACTACTATAGCATATCGGGGTTATATTGGGGTTATATTGGGGGTATGTTGGGCTTGTATTGGGAGAATGGAAAATACATTGGAAACTATTGAATTATATAGGGAAGATATTGGGCTTACATGCAGTATCATGCAGTCTTACGCAGTCTTACGCACGGCTACAGCATTGCATGTACGCAAGGCTGCAAGGTGTCCATGCTTCAGGCAAGGTTTTGCACACCTTTTCTTTGCCGCATCCTCGCATGCGCAGCTGCAAAGAACCCCCCCGCCCCCCAACCATACCCCATGTTCAAAGCTGCTTTCGCAACAGTTGCATAGGCGCCTTGGCATCGTTCTGTCCGACTAGTTGATCAAAAAAGCTTGGGCATTTATTGCTGAGATGCGACACCTCACTCGCGTTCCGTACAATCTGCGTTGGTTTAGGAAAACGGGCTCTGCAACCTGGAAATTAGGTCGCCGCCAGGCAAGTGCACTAGCGTTCACGCTGTCGTATGGAGTGTGCATCACCATTGCGCGTCCAGTCCACGCTCACTTCCGTGCACTGACACTGACTGGTCAGCTAGTCTGGCAGCAAAGTGCGTGGCCTTTCCAACTTCTGCGCCACCAAGACGGAAGAGGGCAGGGCCCACCACAAGGTCCCCTCAGTCACGCAAGGTGGCCGTGCTTTTGAAGACACCGGTTCTTTCTGAGACCTGCCATCTCAAAGGTAAATTGGGGCCGTTAGGGCATTAGGGCTGTGGAAGATTGAAAGCCAGCATTGCGCAGACCTCGTATGACAAGCATAGCAGTCAAGAGACTTAGCATTCAAAGCGCAAAGTACTAGCAATTGTAATTGTTCGCATAATGCGTTCCTCGTGCTATGTTGTTAGCATACTTGGCCTAGTACGCACATATTCAATCAAGTAGAAGAACAGAACAAAATGTCGCACAACAGCCACCGTATTCAGGTCACAGCCCCAGCTCAATGAACCTGCTACACATAACAAGAAACTCCCAAAGATTGATGGTGTACTTGTGCAGCTATGCAGCGATTGCCGACCCAGTCGGGTATCGAGTCCATCCAGCCCCTGGCTTCAGAATTCATCTGCCTGACGAGCGGGCGTGCCAGCAGCTCAGACATTCTGCAACTCGTCAGGCTTGAACACAACTACCTTTGCGTCCTTTAGGGGGCCTGGGTGTGTGCCAGGATTTCCCTCATTCTTTGCAATCTCAGAGCTGTCCAAACTAGGTTGGCCCGTAAAACCCATTGACAAATATTAGTATATAGGGCCCTCTATTAATGCCATTAGGGAAAATATTAAATATCCCAAGGGCCTACCCAGCCTATATACCCCATAGTAATCCCAGTTTCCATTTCATTTTCCATTTTCTTTTCCATTTGATTCTCCATTATAGTAGTTTCCATTTTCTTTTCCATTATCCCAATATGAACCCTAAACCCTAAACCCTAAACCCTAAACCCTAAATAGTAGTTTCCATTTTCTTTTCCATTATCCCAATATATCTCAGCCTCAAAGGAGATTTGATTGAA